CTCATTAATAACTCTCAGGAGAATATTCTGACATTCATGTGTTTCAGCTTTCTATTTGGCTTTGGAATTAGTGACCTAGATTTTGGTGTTTGTATCTCAAGGCACCCCATGCTGTCTCTGGTCAGTCTTCAGAGGCAGCCAGTTCTCTGGTAGTTGCTTCCATTAAACAGGGACTTTAGTGACAGGGTAAATCTGAAGGTCGTGGAATAAATCAGCAATCATAGAGCCATGTTATCGTGTCATGTTAGGAGCAGAGAAAAATTCAGAGTTTGTGCAAAAAGGCCACGAAGCCCTACATGTTGAATTTCCTGTATGTTTTGTATGTTTTTGAAGTGCATCCAAACTGTGAAAACTGCTCAGTTTCTACACACCAGAGAGTATTGTCTGCCTGGAACAAGCATTATGTGCTTGGAAAGGGGGGTTCTGTTGAAGGCTGCATTGACACTGGCTGCAAAATGGAGTGTATAATTTTGTGTCCATGCCCTAGCAAGTTCTTATACCAATCCATTGCTGATACAGATTTGCTTTGCCGTAAAGAAAGTGAATAGAGATAAATTTTATCACCTTTCTTATTAAAGAATGGTGTACCTATTGCAAATGCAGTTTTCTCTTTGTCCCTGCATATAAGGTTATCAAAAGCAAAAAAAAAAAAAATGCCAAGAAAGACCTTCCAGGGATGAATAGCCTACATTGCAGGGTGTGTAGCCAGTGGACTGAAGTGTCCTAATTCAGCTTTTAAAAGATGTTTTCATTATCACTCTTTTGCATGGAAAAAAAATATTAAAACTGAAGGCAGTGTAGTTAACATGTTTCATAGCTATTTGTGCTGTGTTTTGCTTTTCCTCTAAAGAAACAACATCTCCCATTTCCCAGGTTAACTTGTCTTTGAAACTTCAAATATGGTAGTAATTAAAGATAACTTAATTGTTGTTTCATGTAGCTTCCAGATCTCTTGTGCCATCTCTGCTTAAATTGTTCCCATTTGTTTCCCCTGCAAATATCAGCCTATAGTTTTGGATTGTGGACAGCTGTTTCTGGCATCCCAGCCACCCATCCATCAGTTTTGTTGCCCATAAAAGCGTTCTGCATCTTTGGACGCCGAGTTCCTATTTAATGGCAACTCAGAGACTGCTAGTTGCTTAAAAGGAGGAAAAGGAGGGTGATAATTTTCCATGTCCCACATAAAACCAATTACACAAAGCTGTTAACACCAAGTAAATGAAACGAATGGCAAGAGGTGTATAGAATGGGAATGGAAGGTCATGTAAAGAAAGCTTCTTCTAGTAGTTTCCTTTGGGGTAGCAGTTAGCTTCATGGCACTGAGCCCCAGTGGTGCTGCCCTTGCTTTGTCTTATGTGCATGGAGCAGGGAGCAGGCACAGGTTGAGCACAGAAACAAATGCAGTGCCTTGATGCTTCCAGTGACTGTGTGTGAAACTATGAAAGAAGAGATGTCATCAATAGCAATATTACACGTTGCACCTTGCAAAATAAACTGATGATGAGCGTGGCAGAGCATGCGTTGCAGCTGGCCTTGTTATTTTTGCCTGAATTACAGGTATTTGTCACTGCAAGTCATTTCAGGGCCATAACTAGCCTTTGAAATGAAGCTGACACAGTTGCCACCTACCTGATAAGGCTTGTGTTGAAAATGAGAGCTCTGATCACATTGCTGGGTAAACTTACTAGAGAGGAGCAACCACTGCAGTTGTGCAGCAGCAATGAGGGGGGCATTGCACAGACATGCTCCCTCTGCACTGTGCAGATAGGAGGAAGATTTGCCCATGGCTCAAGTATTTCCGCATGCTGTTTTATAGATGTAGCTGCTAAAGAATACTCATTTCTTTTTCTTAAGGAAAATCAATTGTCATCGTGGTTATAAATTGTAAAGAAATCACTTTAAAGACTGCCGCAGTTTTTTTTTTATAGGAGTATGCAGTAGATTAATATACATGGCATTCTGTTGTCATTAATTAAAGAGATTCTTGTCTGACTTTTTGAGTCAATGAAGAAATTTATGGCGGAAATCAATAGGCCAAGTACAATGGACTACAAATGTGTTTATTTTTTATAAGCATAATTGTGCGTATGGGCAATCAATATTTAATCATCCCATTGGATTAATTTCTCAGGAAATCTATATGTTCGGGACTCGTTGCTCACATCATGTTGGCTGCTTTTGTAACAGGAGATGGGGAATAAATGTGCTTTCACTGACAGCTCAGAGGAGATGGTTTCAGCCTGCTGTGATAAAATGCTGTCACACTTCTACTTTTTTCCCTTCCTCTGATGTCAGGGAAAGGCATTTTGCTTTTCTGTTAGTGTTAGGGAACAAGGATCTCCAAATATTCTAAAGTAATGGAGAGAAGTGAAGAGTCCCTGTGAAGCCCACTGTGCTCCAATTGACTGAACGTGGGTATGCTCTGCTGAATTAATTACAGGTTGTTAATAAATGCTTTTTCCACCAAACCCTAAATTTAAAGCCCTAAATTTAAAGCTCCAGACACACACATTGGCACAAAGTCTGAAGCTTTACAGTGACATTTTCTTCTGCATTCTCCTCTTGAAGCACAAATCTTGATTTTGGAGATGCTCAAGGCCAGGCTGGCTGGGACCCTGGGATAGAAAATCTGTGTTTCCCTAGCTGGTCGCATAGGTCTCCAGTTCCATATTGATAGGTCCTTAGTATCTCAAATGAAAAGGAGCTCTGCTTCATGTTGCTACTAGCTGCTCACATTGGCAAGCTGATGAGCAACTGGAACAGCTGCCCAGAGAGGCTGTGGATGCCCCGTCCATCCCTGGAGGTGTTCAAGGCCAGGTTGGATGGGGCCCTGGGCAGCCTGGGCTGCTGTGAAATGTGGAGGTTGGTGGCCCTGCGTGTGGTCGGGGGTTGGAGCTTCGTGATCTTTGAGGTCCCTTCCAACCCTGGCCATTCTGTGATTCTGTGAGCTCCACGCTCATTTTCAACAGTGTTGGGTGTTAATATTTCATTACTGCCCAGCCCTGGGCACCACTGCTCTTTCCCTTGGGACTTGGGAAGGGGCTGCAGCCCTCCTGGCAGCTCCCTCTGCCCAGAGGAGGGCAGGCTGTGAGCTGAGCATTGTGGTGTACCAGTATACTTTATTTGTTCAGCAGCTGAGCTGAAAAATCGGCATGGGGACGTTTGGTGCCAAACCCAGAGACAGTTTTGAGATGTTTGTGGATTGTTTTTTTATGGTTTCCGTGGTAAAAATAAGAATTAGAACAGAACTAGTGTTGATTGCAAAGCTAAAGAAAATGTGTGTTGCTTCCTATGGAGAAACACCAATATCCAGGACTAGTTTCAGGTGCATAATACCAAAATGAAAAATGAAATGGTATTTCTTTCAGAATGAATAATATATTGTAGTTGCTTCATCTGCTTTTTGTGGGTCATTGAAGAAAAGGGTGATAATCCAAAGCAGCAGCTGAATGTGATGGATGTTCATGACTACTTACAGTAATCAAAACTGTAAACATGCATGATTAATTATGAAAAGCATTTGCTGAAGTAAGTGTTCCAGTTTTCCCTTATCTGAAGGCTGGGTGTAATGGAGGCATGTTTTCAGTAGGCCTCTGTCAGGACCCAGAAATACCTTTGTGCAACAGCTGGCCAGCTTCAGGCAGCTGCAGGAAGGCAGCATGAGCTCATACAACCTGTAGCACGATGTTCCTAGTGCAGTATTCACAAATGTAATTGGCAGCCAACCTGCTGGCATGAAACATGCTGTGGGAAAACCACTGAGCATATAAACAGGAGGGGGAACGGCTGTTTACAAAGGTGGATAGTGATAGGACAAGGGGGAATGGTTTTAAACTGAGACAGGGGAGGTTTAGGTTGGATATTAGGTTAGATATTAGATATTAGGTTGGAACTGGATGACCACTGTGGTCCTTTGCAACCCAGGCCATTCTAGGATTCTGTGATTTAGTGCAGTATTTTGGTGATTTCAGTGGACAACTTTTTTTTTGCATCAACAAATTGAAGTTCTAGAATGAAACATCCTCTGCTTTCAATAACCATGAAGGTCTGCATGGAATAACTGAGAATTTCGGTGCACTCACAACTCTGGGATGCTTAGTGGAACATCTCATTTTAGTAGTACTGCACCTGTACTGTTATCTTGGGAAGCATGGTAAATATTTAATGATTTTTCCTTTGTTTCCTGGAGATAGAGTCTGTAATAAGCCCAAGTACCTACAAGTAATATTGCAATGCCAAGTCACTGTGCTGCCCAAAATGTATATAATTTCTGCTTGTCTATAAACCATCAGACATTGCAGGGACAATGTGGCATTCTCTACTCACAATGCCTCCTTCTTAATTGGATTTTTTTTTTATTTTCTTGGTAAAGCATATATATAACAGAAACTATAGATTTTGATGTTGAAAACACTGCAGTCTATAAAGTACAAAAATCTATGCTTTGTTGTTTTTGTTTTTGTTTTTGTTTTTTCCTCTTAATAAAATACCCTCTTGTTTGCTCCTATTGACTTTCATTGTTCTCTGAAATCTATCCATCTTGGAAACTACAAGGACTGCTGTTAATTGTGCACTAAGACCATTAAGAGCCAGCCTATTTCTTTCTCACTCATCAACAAAAGTGCTTGGAAACCAAACTGCATCTCAGTTCTCCAGTATGCTCTCATTAGCTCCAAATGACACCCTAAATGACAGCTGTGAAACCTCATTGCCTGCAAGAGGGAGGGGTTGGGCACCTGTAGGGAGGAAAATAATGGAGGGAAGAAGGCTGCTGGATGTGGGGAGCCAATTTACCTGGGTTGTTAGATATTAGGGGATAGCATGGGCTCTAAGACAGGATGGTCAGCCTCCAGGAGGTGATGAAATAAACTGAAATCAAACATTTTTTTTAAGGGAACTAATGGCCCAACACAGGTTTGTGTCTGCACCCCTTCATTCCCGAGATGAAGACAGTATCTGCCCCAAAAGCTCTGATGTTTGCATTCTTCTTTTTCTTTTAGGCTGGACAGCAGCGTTGGTGGGAACAAGAAATTACAGTGAATGGAAATATTCAAAAGGGAGAATTAATTACCTACAATCTAACTGAGCTGATCAAGCCAGAGGCGTACGAAGTCCGTCTGACACCCATCACCAGATTTGGAGAAGGGGACTCCACTATTCGGGTCATTAAGTATAGTGGTAAGACCTTCAAGTACAAAGAAATGCATTGTGGCACCTTCTGCACAGTTGGGTCTGCTGTATGGGTTACAGTTGTTTCAGGATGTGAACTAACAACCAGTCCAGTGATGAATTGCCCAAACCAGAGCAGTTTCTGTGTTGCAAGGGTAAAAATACAACAAATTGATGTTATCTTCATGAATTAATCTTCATAAATCAATGTTATCTTCGTTTCCAAGAGATAATTCTTATCTTGAATACTTGTTTTGTGAAGTTTTCTTCAAAACTCTCTGCCCTGCCAAGTAATATTATGGAGGTGTTAAATCAGTATTTTGTTGTCATCATTTTTTTTTTTGTCAGAATCAGCATGTTTTGGGAAGTTTCTGTTTAATTATGAGTGATCAAAATAACCTGACTATTCTTAATCCTATGCAAGTGAGAAAGGATGATTCTATATATTCTTCCAAAAGTTTGCCATGACAAGGATTTGTCCACTTGACCAGGAAAGAGAGAGTATTTCTACATCCTTCCATTCAGTCTCACAGCATTACCAAGAATTAACTCCTAGAGCTCTGAAAAGAACTCAGAATACCTTCCTGAGGGTATTAATGTAAAGAGTAACTGAGTTAACTATTTTTATTTCTTGTTTGTGAAAATGCAATGAGTGAACACGATATGCCTTAGAGAGAAGGCAGCTCTATTGAAGATGTCAGTATGCAGTTTACCATGGGAAGCAGATGTGCTGAGTAGGAAGTTTTTTGTAATTGAGAAAGGAAGTGTGTGCCAGAGGAAGATATTTTTAAGCATGGAACCATGGAAGTGTGAGTTTTCCATGAAACCTTGCTAATTCCATGGGACGGAAGCCCTGTGACACATTGGTCAAGTCACAGCCAGCTGGATACAGCTGTCAGAGTGCTGTACTGATACCTAAGAGAGCCCAGAGCTGGGAATCACAAGCAGAAGAGCCAAAGGAAACCTGCAGGCCAAGAGTTGCTTTCCAAAACCATTATCAAATAATTTGAAATGGTGAAATGGAAAAAAAAGTAAATATCTTCTACATCGTTTGTAGAATGCCCTACTCAACCTCATCACAAGTTATTTTTAGCACTCTATTAATAGCAAGGAGATAAATTACCTTAAACAACCTCAAGTACAAATTCTAAGTAACACAGTTGCACATTTCTGACACTCCATCTGACACTCCGTGCCAGATCTGCTACCAGTGGTGATGAATGAAGCTTAAATTTTGCCTATTAGAATAAAGTGTTTGCTAAGTGTATGTTTCCCAGAGCCCATCTTGGCAAATACTCAATTAAAAAAAATTGTTTACTGATTCTATGAACGCACAAATGAGGAGAAGTTAGTCATTCTGCTGCAATTCCTGTTGGAACTTTGCTCCTCATTAGGTGTTTACCAGGGAAGTGTCTGTGTTCCCTAATACAAGAAAGACAGAACTTTTGGAGAAGGTCCAGAGGAGCCACAAAGATGATCAGGGGGCTGGAGCACCTCCACTACAAAGACAGGCTGAGGGAGCTGGGCTTGTTCAGCATGGAGAAAAGAAGGCTGTGGGGTGACCTCATTGCAGACTTCAGTACCTAAAGGGAACCTACAAATAGGAGGGAATCAACTCTTTGAAAGGGTAGATAACAGCAGGACAAGGGAAAATGGTTTGAAGTTGAAGGAGGGAAGATTGAGGATGGATGTCAGGGGAAAGTTGTTTGCTGTGAGAGTGGTGAGGTGCTGGAACAGCTGCCCAGAGAGGCTGTGGATGCCCCGTCCATCCCTGGAGGTGTTCAAGGCCAGGTTGGATGGGGCCCTGGGCAGCCTGGGCTGCTGTGAAATGTGGAGGTCGGTGGCCCTGCCTGTGGCAGGGCTTTGGAGCTTCATGATCCTTGAGGTTCCTTCCAACCCAGGCCATTCTGTGATTCTGTGAAATGCTGCACTGTAGTGGTGTTTGTGCTCTGGCAGGCCTCAGGAAGCTGACTCAGTTCTTGGCTGTGGCTCACAACCGCACTGAGTTTGATCCGTTAATGAAACATCATATAATTTGCATTTCTAGCCCCAAGCTGCCAAGGAGAACATTCCCATGCAACATAAAAAGACATATTTGGACTACAGCAAATTTCTTCTGCTAGAATCTGCCATTAGCACAGATGTGAATGACATCCCATTTCAAACATGCCGGTTGGACACCAAGTATAATCCAGCTGCCCAGGAGAGATGGAGCCATCATGTTGTGCCCCAGGTGGAAGGATGCTCCTGCAGTGGTGCTCAGTGCCATCACTCAGGTGCCTACAAATGCAGTTTAAGAAATGGTGAGCCAGGTGCTAATCAATAGGATAAACCTAGAGTGACTTCTATTTGAGGAGGGGTTCCAGAATCGCTGAGGTTTTGTGTGCTTCAGATACACATTTTATCTCAACATTTGTCCAAGCACTGTAGTGTCAGCTAGCTATTACCAGGCTAATTTTAAGTGTGTTATAACTCCAGCTATAAAATAATGATACTGCATACATTATTATGGTGCAAATTCAATAGTTATAGTCTGAAATGCTAGAATCTTAGAAAAGCAGCTAATGGGCTAGCAGCATGCACAGCAGCAGTCCAGAATTGAAGTAGAAGTAATAATAAACATTACCCAGAAAATAAGACATCATGCGAATGTTTCTTAAATGGAGAAGATAATTTTTGACGGATTTCTCCCCATTGCATTTGTTGAGACCTTAAGCACACACACACACTAAAATAGCCCATCCACAGTTGGATCTTCATATTTTCAATATAGTTTCATTCTGTATGTGTGTGCAATTTTGATCGATACCCTGCGGGCACATTGGACTTCAGCCACATCACTCCACACTTCTCACCCCACTGCTTCGGAAATACTTTTTTGGGGGACTTACAACAGTTTAATACCTTGCAGTATCACTGGGTTGCTGAGATTGGAGGCACTGCTGGAGATCATCTCATCCAAGCTACTCAGAGCAGGCTGCCCAGGGCCACATGCAGTTGGGTCCTTATTGTCTCCAAGAATGGAGACTCCACAACCTCTCTGGGTGCCCTGTACCAGTGTTTGCCACTTTTGGTGTAAACAAGCTTTTTTCTCTATAACTCTCTCTACAACTACCTGAAGGGAGGTTGTAGTGAGCTGGGGGTCGGCCTCTTCTCTCGTGTAACTGGTGATAGAACTAGAGGGAATGGCTTCAAGCTGTGCCAGGGAAGATTTAGGCTGGACGTTAGGAAATACTGCTTCTCTGAAAGAGTGGTCAGGCACTGGAATGGGCTGCCCAGGGAGGTGGTGGTGTCACTGACCCTGGAGGTGTTCAAGGAGCGTTTGGATTTTGTATTGAGGGACATGGTTTAGTTGAGTACTATTGGTGATGGGTGGATGGTTGGACTGGATGATCTTGAAGGTCTTTTCCAACCTTGGTGTTTCTGTGGTTCTGTGATTCTGATGTTTAAAATGTTTGCTTTTGTTTGTATTGCTGGTAAGGATTCCCACTGAAAACGTGTTTTTCCATGTTGTAAGCAGATTAAAAAGATTTCACCCCATTTTAAAAAAATGCAGGCAGCATGAAAAGCAGATCAGACGCATGATAATTAGAGTTACTAAAAATGGTAGCACTGTCTTTAGCCTTTAATGAATGCATTCCCCTTTACACTTGAGCTTGGTGCAAGTAGGGAACAGACAGACCATGGCCTATAGGAGTTATTTTGACAGCTTAAAGTTGTCATTTGTATCATGACAACCTTGGGTTGGTGCTGCCCAAAAATGATTTTTCAAACTAGACTTAAAGTGTGTGAGAATCAACTTGACATTCCTAGTGCATGGGTTGTGTTTGCTGCCTTACCAGAGAGGAGGTGGTTTCTCCAGATTTCTCTCCGTGGATGGATCACCCTTTAGACATGCCCATATCTCTCTGTGACGTTAGGGACACTCTTAAATGAGGTGTCTAATTTACGAATCATTAAGGTTAGGTCACGTTACTCCTGCCTGTGCAGTCATTTATATTGAGTTGTGCTGCAGAGCACATTGCATTTTAAATTAAAATCCACAACTGGAGCTTAATGGGGAAAATGCTCATATATAAATAACAGCTTCTAGTGGTCTAGCCTGCTGGTAGCCATCTGAATGTCCAAAATGACAAAGCTACTACAGTACTACCAAAGCAGGAGAAGCCTTATTTATGAGCTCTTTACAGTACGCCCTGCCATCCCAAGCTGGAGCCATACATACAAGACAAAACCTCCTTGCTATCCAAGCCCACAAATCAAAACCTCACACATGGTGGAAGCATTTCACAGGGAAATTCCTTGCCTGCCATGAGTTATTTTCTCCTCCACGCAGAGGAGGAGTGGGAGAAAAGGACAGTCAACACAGTAGGAGTGACATTGATAATTACAGCCAAACATCACTTGACAAATTCTTTGGTAGGTGCATATGTTACTCTGCTAGTGATCACAGTCTGGCAAGTAAATACTAACAGGACAGTTTAAGTAGCACTAATGAGTGTTTTGAAGGCTGGTACAAAACAGATAAGTCTTTTAGTAACAGGTTCAATGTAATCTCCATCACTTTACATAAATCTGTGTCAGCCTCCGTGATGCAAACAAGCAATAACGTCCTCCAGCTATTCCAATTAACACTATTTCTATTAAATATTTCTAACCAGTGCTAAACAAGCAAGTTAATTTCATTTCTGTGAATGAAGCTCAAATCCTAGCATTGTGTCTATTGTATGTAGAATCAGCCCTCCGTGACGTGGCAGGTAGATGATGGCTGCCAGTCACTTAATAGCCCTGCCTGTGTATTCTTACACAGGTTAGGAACTTCCCAGATCCTGTATGGAAGAAGTGTATGTAATTGTTCCATTTATTATTATTATTATATTTCTGGGCCCCACAAGAAGAAAAGACATCAAATAGAGCATAAATTATAGGATTTATAAGTATACACGGAGGTAAGTATGAGGCTGTTTTATAAGTAGTATGCAGAGTTACCATTATGGGAAGAAGAAAGCCTTGCATAGAGAATCAATATCTACAATGAAGACTGCTTTCCTCTATGCAAACCAAGTCCTTTTAGAGGTTTGGACTCCTGATCCCTCATTAAAGCTTTTAGATTCTGGTTGTAATTACTGTAAGTAGACAGCAGTTTCTAGCAGTAGAAAACACAGCAGCTGAATACCCAACATACTTACCTCTAGTTTTATGTTTCTCACAGTTGGTATGTAGCTATGTTTTTAAAGGGAGGGCACAATGTCTCAGTGCCTGTACAAGTTCCTGAACAAGTGTCTGTCTGGGAGGATCTCTGGGAGACATCACTGTATAAATGCAGTTACATGCAACACAAGGGCTGGCATTGAGAACAAACATTCTGCCCACATTTTTCTGCCATCACCTGCACACATACAGATCACTGAAGAGTGAAGTTGTCCAACAAGCTGAAATTCCAGTGGGCTTTATTCCCTGCACACTGGAGAAAAGGCAGAGAGATTAAGGGATGATCCGCCTCAGCTCTACCCGAGCTCACATCCTTCCTGATGCTTGGTTCTCCTCCTGAGATTCCCCAGCATTAAGCCAGGCCAGCAGAGCAGAGCAGTGAGAGCCCTCGGAGCACAAAGCCTTTCCAGATGTTCCCAGCTCAGCGTTGGGAATTGCTCCATCAGTCATCCATTGGTTTGTCTTCATGGCTAATTGAATGAGCTGCCCTCACATCGTGCACACAGCAGCCTCACCTTTCAGCAGTGAGACCTGGAGCCCTCACACTTCATCACATGGCAGCTTAGTGCACCACTTAGGAGAGTGAGCTTTCGGGTTGCTTTATTTTCAATTTTATTTTATTTTTCTAGTTTATTTTGTTAGATAAGTTCAGCCTAACTTCTTCAATTTGCTTTTGTCCATCAGTTTGAACTGCAGCTAGCTTGGCAAGAAGCCTTTTTTGCTTTGCTGTGTGAACAATCTAGTATGACTCAAGGTTACGCACTGATGATAGTTTTCATAAAAGCCTGTGTATTTAGTTACAAAGCAAGCATCACTAAACGTAGTTTCCAGCAATTTCAGCTAATTCCAAATTCAATCACTCAAGAAACTCACAAAATGAATGTTTCTTGGAGAATGAAAGGTAATTTGTTGGTAAAAGCTATGAGGTTGTCTAATATAATGTAATGACTAAGTTTCTTAAAACTGCACAGGGGCAAGTTGCTGTTCATTTGTTTCAGCAAAGAAAGATCAGGTGGCAGAGTCACTAAATTAGACCTGTTTTAAAAACTTCAGGTCGAGGTTAGAGCTAAGTAGAAACTTAGCTAGGGTCAGAAACCAGGAGTTAGAATCATAGAATCATAGAATCACAAGGTTGGAAACGACCTATAAGATCATCTAGTCCAACCGTCTTCACACTACTACTGCTACCACAAGCACTAAACCAGATCTCGCAGCTCCTCGTCCAGACACCTCTTGAATGCTGCCAGAGATGGCGACTCCACCACCTCCCTTGGCAGCCATTCCAGTTCCTGACATCTGTAAGCATGACTAAGGTTTGCCTTTCATCCTGTTCCATCCTCTGGCTGATAGGTGAACCTCAGTATTAAAGAATTAGGAATTGAGAGCTTTTTGTGATTTTGTTGAGGTTCTGTTAAACAAGAGTACATTTCATCACCTGTGCCAAGGATGCCCAGCACCAGTCATCATGCTCAGTCACAAAGGATGTTGCACAGACCCAGAGAGGAGACAGAAATAATATTTTTCAGCAAAGTTATCTCAATACCTCTTTGCAATGGTGGAAATTTGGTTTTGATGCCTCCAAAGAGGAGTGGTCATCAACTATCCCTCCCATGAGGCAGGGAATGGGCAGAGGTGGATGCATAGAGAGCCTACAGAGCGGAGGGGAATCAACTCTTTGAAAGGGTAGATAACTGCAGGACAAGGGGAAATGGTTTTAAGTTGAGGGAGGGGAGATTGAGGTTGGATGTCAGGGGGAAGTTGTTTGCTGTGAGAGTGGTGAGGTGCTGGAACAGCTGCCCAGAGAGGCTGTGGATGCCCCGTCCATCCCTGGAGGTGTTCAAGGCCAGGTTGGATGGGGCCCTGGGCAGCCTGGTCTAGCATTAAATGAGGAGGTTGGTGGCCCTGCCTGTGGTGGGGGGTTGGAGCTTCATGATCCTTGAGGTCCCTTCCAACCTGGGAATTCTGTGATTCTGTGATTCTGTGATAGGGGAGGGCAGAACTGCTTTTTCGCTTCTCCATCTCCAGGAACAAAGCCCTGGAAAGCAGCATCTAATGGGCATGGGTGCTGCAGTCCTGGCAGCCCTGGGGACAGCACGCCTCACCTTTCTTTGTCTTCTAAATGTCTTTAAAACATTTCCCCCTAGAAGAGGATTTCTGCAGTAGGGTTGCAGTTTTGTTGGTTGTTTTTTTGGTTATTTTTTTGCTTGGTTGTGTCTCTTGGCCTAATGGGATCAAACCTCTTCTCTCCAACTTGCTGTGCTTTTGTTTCCTGCTGCTTAAAAAGAAAATTGTGATTTCTGGGAAGAATGCAAGTGCTATCCATTCACAAACTGAAGAATAGTACTGTTTATTTAACAGAAGAATAGTTTGTTACATTAAATATCCATGAACATCGATAAGACCAACAATTGAGTAAGGCATAATGCAGAACCTCTGCTTCGGATGAATACATCCTTCCTGTGTCTTTTGTTGGATTCCTGCACGAAGGCATCACCGTGAAGTTTTGCTGTGCAGCTGTCCTCTTCCCTACAGTGTCTGTGCCAATAAACTGGCTTTGATACTTAATTACAGCATCTCATTCCCCAGGCTGCATGTGATAATGATGGAGCACGTGTAATGAGTGGAAGAGGCTTTTCTCATGGAAGCCATTGCCTTTGGCTTGTCAGGAAGCTGCAAAACTTGCTCAGAAAGGACAGCATCAGTTTTGATGACTGTGTTAATGTGGAACCCATAATCAGGGTCCTCAGGAAGGGGAAGAATGATCAGTGGGCAATTTAGGATCATCTGTGTGTTGGTTAATTAAGTTTTTCCCTTTATGCTAATTTTATTTTCGCTCTCTCTTTCAGCTCCAGTAAATCCACACCTACGTAAGTATTTCTTTATCTTTTATTCACTTGAAGAGCTGTCCTTGCACCTGTTGTCCTTTGTGCTTAAAAAGTGACTGACAATTATTCCACTTTCAGTTGCCATGCCTCTTAGTTTTGTGTGCATGCTGAGCCTGATGGTGTTCATTCCTCTTGTTCTGCAAAGTGCTAGAGAACAGCTGATGGAGGAAGGACATACTGTAGCTCCAGCCCATCTTTGTTGCTAGGGTAGTATAATCAGGTTGAGGTTGGACTTGATCTTTAAGGTCTTTTCCAACCTGAGCAATTCTATGATTGTGTAACTGAGCAGAACCTGTGTCTGAGCCTTAGCAGACATTGTAAACATCTCAGAGGAAAAGTACATTTATAACATTTTCCAAAGTTCTCCTTGCGTGAGAACTACATGTGCATCTCTTGAAGTACATCTACATGAGCATGGATTGGGTAAGATGACTTCCAGAGGTCCCTTCTGACCTTACCCCTTCTGTGATTCTGTCATTTTGTGATTCCATGATTCTGAGTGAGTTACTGCAATCCTTCCAGCTGCAGTCAGCAGCTCATAGAATTGTTCTGACTGTGTCCTGGCTGATGTGTGGTGCTCAGTAGCACATGAATGTCTCCTGGTACAGCTGTTTCCCACTCAAATCACACGTGCGCACCAAACCTTTGCCAGTACAGCAGACAGGAAACTGAGCTGGAGCTAGGAAAAACAGCTTCATTCTAACACTAACATCTGACTTTATCCCCCACCTGTCTACTTCATGGTTGATTTTCAGTAGCAAGAGTATATTTTGTGTGTTTTGTGGGATATACTCTGATGTTATTCTTGCTTTTAATCACATATGCAGAAATGCTCCTGTAAATGGAGTGGGGCTCTTCCATTATTGCTGCCATGGTGCAGCCATAGGCAGGCAGAGAAGCTGCAGCAGGCTGTGCAAGCAGCCTCTGTCTGTCTCTCAGATGATGGCCAAACTTTTCTGTAAATTTTAAACTTATTTGCTGAAGGTCTTGTGAGACGCATTAATAATTAATCAGGGCTCAGTTTAAAGCTCGTGGGAGCTGAAGGATCCAATCTCATTGACTTAAGTGAGCAGTAGATGAGGCCCTTGCTAATTAATGTATTAAACATATACTCTCTGATGTTAAGGAAAAAAAAGCATTGCACTCCCATGTGCTTCCCTCTATAATCTTCTATGATTTTAAGATCTGAAATTGTCTCATTTTCAGAATGTCTCTATTGCACAGTTCAAAGCAGCAGCTCTGCCAGGCACGTGGCTCAGTGCAGGTGACACCCCAGTCACCCTTCAGGTCAAAACCCTGCTGGCTCCAGGGAGAGAGACTTCTGGCAACCTGCCCACCATTTCCTTCCTCTGCTTCTGAGTCTGTCTAGCTGTGAACCCCTGCTAATGGGAGAGTTTGCCCACTGGGAGCTATAGGGCACCCGGTGGCATTTCTTTCAGACAACCAAAGAGATGGTTAAATCTTGAAGGCTTGCTTTTTTCCCCAGTGACTTCTTGAGTGAAACCCTTTGACAGGAGAGAAATCTGCTGGGAAAGAGAAGTTCTGGCTCCACAGCAAATTCGATCTCATCTTTATCCATGCTTTCTACAATCTCATTTTATGTCACTGAGAATGCAGGATGAATGGTGATGTTGTATGTTATATAACGCCAACCAGCTTCTGATTCTTTCTAAACCTGTTGGGCTGAATTCTAACTTTATTTACACCACTGTGAATGAAGAGTAAGTGCCCTATTCAACTGGGGAAAATATCTGGAAACTGAAGGCACACCTTCCTGCTCAAATTCTGGAATAATCACATGGCAGAGAACATTCGTTCTCATGAGATTTTTGCAGTAGATAAGGAAGTAGCATCAAATGACTGGAAAACCGAGATTTTGCCTTAGGGCTACTTTTGTGTGTATGTGTGTGACATATAAATAAGCTGTTTAATGTAAACAGTTTACAGTAGACCAAACTACTGTACACTGTAGACCAGTACCTAAAGGGAGCCTATAAACAGGAGGTGAGCCAACTCTTTGAAAGGGACAAGGGAAAATGGTGTGAAGTTGAAGGAGGGAAGATTTAGGTTGGATGTCTCACACTATGAGAGGTGAGGTGCTGGAACAGCTGCCCAGAGAGGCTGTGGATGCCCCGTCCATCCCTGGAGGTGTTCAAGGCCAGGTTGGATGGGGCCCTGGGCAGCCTGGGCTGCTGTGAAATGTGGAGGTTGGTGGCCCTGCCTGTGGTGGGGGGTTGGAGCTTCGTGATCCTTGAGGTCTCTTCCAACCTGGGCCATTCTGTGATTCTGTGATTTTGTGATTCTGTGATTCTATGAATATTTAAGAATTTCATATCAATGAGTGCAATTAGACGTTACGCTTGAATAATGGAAGACATAAGATGTGAAAAAGTCATTCAACTTGAATTTTATGGAAAAAGAATTCATATTAAAATGAAGAGCCTTGCCCTTTGAAAAGGGTTTCATATTTTGCCATGATTGGCAATAAATTTATTTAATAACTTGCGTTAGTGAGGGTTTGGACCAACAATTCATCCCTGTCCTTAATGGTGTTTGGGACCATTTTTGGTACCCACTGCTCCATCAGTTCTCAGTCCCCATCCCCAGACCTTGGCTGTCTGCAGGGATGGGGCACCACCGCCCCTCTGGGCAGTCTGTGCAGTGTTTCACTGCCCTTAGAAAAAAAAACCTCCTTCCTTATCTCCAGTCTAACTCTCCCCTCTTTTAGTTTCAAGCCATTTCCCCTTGTCCTGACAGAAGAGACACCGCTGAAGAGTCTGTCTCCTTCTTTCTAACAGCCCCACTTCCTGCACAAGGGAAGTATAGAGCTAATCCCAGGGAACTACTTTCCATTTGTATTCATCTGTTATTTTTCACAAGGTGTTTAGTGCCAAGAATATTTAGCACTAACCTTTTCCAATGCATTCCAAATGACAGTGTTCCACGTGAAACTGGTATTTTCATATTAGATAAATGGCAAACTTTTACTTGCCTTTCTTCATCTAGCCTGAATGCATTAATTTGTTTCACTTGAAGAAAAGGCTGATGTGGATTTTGTTCTGCTGATGTGGTGGAATTTCTTAACGAAGCTCTGAGGGCACACTGTGACACGGAAATGCAGCTTTTAAGCAACTGGAGGGGCAGTGGTAGGAACCACTGAATAGCTGGAAATGCTTTGTCTTAAATCACTTTGCTTCAGGACTGGATCTGATAGGCAGAATTTTACTCCTTTCGCCACTGTTTGGCCTTTTCATTTTGTCTCATTGTGTAGAAGCAGCACCTTGCATGCTATAGGAAGGGTGTGTAGAAGTGGAGGCCCAATGTAGTGTCAACCAAACAACGCATGTTAGAGTGCTTCCTTGGTGTCACTGCTCATTCAAGACCTTTGTCAGGGTCTCTGTGTTCTCCTCCTGCTCTTGGAGACAATGATGAAGGTGTTGGTCTGCACCCATTCTCCCTGGAAGGACTTTGGATGGAGTTCACAGCCCAGGTGTTCTTCTTTCATATGCTCATCTCTCGAGCAGAACTGCTGTCAGGCCAGTGTTTGTATTTCTCTTCCGTGGTGCTTATGGAGGTGCTCCTGTGCTGAATGGTTTTGTGTGTTCCCTCTTCATCATTCCAAATTCATTCATTCAAAAAGCACTACCTCCAGAATCAAACTGAAGTCCTGAAATGGGCTCCTCATTGCCTTGATGGCTTTCAGCCACGTTTCCGAGTTAATCCTCCTGGAGGATCTAATAAAGGCATAAATTGATCAAGAAATCAAGCCTGAGGTGCTAATGGGCATGGAGGTTTCTGTGGACTCGGTTTTTGTGGCAACGTGGTGTTTGGAGCAGTGCTTCGTGCTGACTGCTACGCAGCAGGAAGTTTGTGTTGCTCAGCATGAGCAGAGGCAGAATGAAGAAGGCTTGGAAAGCACTCCTAATGCACCTGGTGGATTGGGAGGAATTGTCAGGCCTGTTTTTATCAGTTTGCAGCATTATATGATTTTAAATAAGCTTCAAAACAGCATCCTTGCTTAGCACTACATATCCAAGCTAAGCTCCAGGTCCTTCTGTCTTTACTGATTTGCAGTGAAGCTCCAGTGGCTGAAGTGGATTTATAGTTTACTGAAGCCCCAAACCTGCAAACATTTATACACCTTCTGAATTTAACACAGATGAATGGTGCCTGGTGTTAGAGTTTCTCCTAACAATGAATATAAATTGCACCCCTATAACGAATGCTGTAGCTTACACAGTATGCAGACAGCTGCATTCTCCCAGGAGAAGGGAGATTTGCTTGTTTTCTCAGATAAATCAATTGACTTTGCTGGAAGAGTAAACTCAGCAGGAACTGCTCGTGTGTATAAAATTAAGCTTTTGCACATTTTACACGAGGCCTCATTCTGTTCTGAGGTGAAAAGTGAACCTTGAAGTTCTGGTTTGTTTTGTTCCTAAATGCCTGATTATAAGACTTCCCCAACCCATCATAACTCAAAGGTGGGATCATTGGGGTGGTGTCTGACAGACCTGCTTCACAAAAGAGAGGATCCCAATAATCCTGATTGGGGTTCATCATGTCTACTCTAAATAATATTTCCTCTTATCTAGTCATTATTTGTTTTCCCATCCCTATTGACTACTGAGAGTAATTTAAGAGATACCGCATTGCAGACCACGTTTTCCTTTTGAAGAGGTGCCGTACGCTTCTCCTAAATGTTCTTATCCCTAAACCAAAAGAACCTACCGCTTCCTTTTTTCCCACAGAGTTCATGTTTTATAGACATGCTATCCATTCTTCTCAGCTCTTTAGAAATTGTAGCTGGGTCAGTAGAGACATTGTCTCTAAGGACTGTTACTCATAGCTGAATATGTGAGGAGGATCTAGACAAGACTGAAGATAATTAATTTCGAGTAGCATTAACACAGGATGATGACTGTGCCTTTTTTTCATCGGGGTCACTTAAAAGAGAACGTATAATCAACAGTAGAGAACGATGTAAAATAAATGTATATCTATTTCCAGTGCTGTTAATGAGCACCAACCTACAGTGTGTTTGAATACAGCTTGGATGTGGTGCTCAGGGACGTGATTTAGCGGAGGGTTGTTAGTTAGGGTAGTATGATTAGGTTGGACTCGATGTTCTTTAAGATCTTTTCCAACCTGAGCAATTCTGTGATTCTGTGATTCTAATACATCCGTTCTCATGGAGAGGTAAGCAAGCATTGAGTCTTTTCAGGCATTAAATCTCCTCTCATTTGCTGTGTTGACAGGAGAGTTCCACTGTGGGTTTGAGGATGGTAACATTTGCCTTTTCACTCAAGACGATACGGACAACTTTGACTGGACAAAGCAAAGCACTGCCACTAGAGACACAAAATACACTCCCAACACAGGGCCGAACGCAGACCGGACTGGCTCCAAGGAAGGTAAGCTCCAGGGTGCACCCATTCCACCTGCACTGGGAACTCTGCAGCTGCTCTGGGGTCAGGGATCTCCAGCCAGCTGTGTCCTTCCTAACCACACCAAGATGAGCACACCTCAGGGACTTCAGAAAGGAAGCTGAGGCGTGAGGCCAGTCCATATCAGAGCCCACTAACAGCGCCATTAACCATCTTGTATTATTTCTATTGCGCCATTTCCAAGTGATCACTTCTACGTTACAGCCTGGTGGGGAAATATTCTATCACATCTTGAACTATTCTTCTGTTTTATGTCGTTTAAATTCTAACTTGGACTCTCAGACTATCACAGTGAGGTCTTTTTGCCCCGTTTTTACTTTGGGTGTTGCTAAAACATGTAATTTTCAATCTGCTACTCCTGTTAACAGAAGTGTGCCGTCTTGACTGCGGTATTTATTTTCATTTGAAAAGTCAGACATATTGTGCTGAATTTATCAAGTACTGCAGTAACTTGAGCTATTTTATTGTGTGCCCCATGCCCTCTATTACCAAGAGGGAAAAAATCATACTGCATCATATTTGCTTGGTTGGATTAAGTAAATGTGCCTCTGTTGGTGCACTCCAGAATAAATGAATATTTTCTTCTTGTGAGCCGTTGAACTGGGATTGACACGGGCAGTTTAAAATGTTCACTGGAAGGTTTCCATCAAGATTTTTTTTTTTTTACCTTATTTTAAAAATTCTCCCTCTCATTGTTTATAGGAACAAATTGCAACCTTGAGTCTCAAGTCTGAACTCCATCATAAAGATTTTTTCTTTTCTTGAGCATATATGATGTTATATCAATATGAAGTTGTTTATGAGTACTGACCTGCGAGCCCTGATTTTACTCCTGCTAGAAAACATCTTTGAATCAGCTGTGGAAAATGTGTGGGTTTAGTGCACAACAAATATGACCCAGAAACCGTGGTGTTCTTAGATGAACGTGAAAAATTAATCAAGATAGCCCGATATCTTCCTGTGTGTGTATTGTGTTGGTTTTTTAAGACCACAACATAACAATTTTCATTTGTCCTTTCCTAGGTTTCTACATGTACATTGAGACGTCACGCCCCAGGCTGGAAGGGGAGAAGGCCCGGCTCGTCAGTCCTGTTTTCAGCGTTGCTCCAAAAAATCCCTATGGAGCTACGAACACAGCCTACTGTTTTAGCTTCTACTATCACATGTATGGACAGCACATAGGTAGGAGAGAGCCAATGACCTTGTCTTTTCATTTTGGGAGAGATAACAGGAGAAATGTCCAGATATATGGAAGGGAAACACAGGATCACTTCCAAAACCAGCTACAACCAAGGCTGGCAAGAGAGGCACCTGAGAGCATTCTTTTGGTCGTAAAACTTTTCCCCATGATCAGTAAGCTAGCAGGAATCCTGTAACGGTTGACAAGAGCATGTTGTGTACACATGGGGTTTTGAGCAGGGACTCTTGAAAGTGTGAAGATTTGCAAAGGCTTTGCCTGGTTTTGAATGTTTTTTGCCTGGTCACGGTGTGTTGAATTTCTCCTTACAAGTTTAGGGATGAAGCAATTAGCAGCACAGCCCGTGTGCTATGCAGCAGCACATGGGTCCTAAAGGAAAGCCTTGAACAATTCACTCAAAAGCTATGGGAGCAGATCTTTCCAAGGTGAATCTTTAGGTCTATTTTTAGTCGTAGCTCTTTCAAGACACACGTTTAATTACTTTGCACAGTGTTAAAGAAAAAAAGAAAAAAAAAAAAAAAAAGTGTGGGAAAATGTAAAAGTATAAGCCTAAGCCAATTTTTCTAAATCCTGTAAATCCCTGTGGGTTCTTGGTGCTTACCAGTGCGTTGGGAGGCTTTCCAGTGCCACGCTGCCCTGACTCGGTGCATTTTTACAGATATTTTCAAGGGCAAGCACATCCTCGTAGTGCATTCTGGTGGTCGCTTTGGGAAACATTCAGCTGCCTGCAGGCAGAGCTTGGGTTATAAATAGAGCAGACAGCTCGCTCCGTTCTGTTAGCTGTCTGCACTGCTGAGCACTCAACGCAGCCCCCGGTGTAAATTCTGCTCACTCCACGTTGCAGGAGGATCTGGAACCGTGCCATGCTGAGTGAAAGAAGTACAGAGTGCTCCTACTTCTGCTATAGGACAGTGAAGAGCAGAGTTACGACCATTAAGGGTCGAAGAGTTCTTCTGGAACTTCTTAAAGTTGGGATAGATATAAGAAAAATAGCCATTGAGGTTGACATCTGCCCACAAAAAAGTGACCCCTAATTTTTGCAGTTCTGGTCTTTCTCCTGGGCTGCCCTTCCGTCCTTCTCTATTTTGGCTGAAATTGTTCTTTTCTGTGTCATTTCTTGAGCTGACACATAGAGAGCTGACACATAGACAAAGGAGCTGACCCACAGATGAAGGTGGTGACAGTGACAGTTAGTGATTGGGTGTACGACTGTTTTTTTTTATTGTGATATGGACACTTGGATGTCAAAAAACAAAATCCCTCAATGTCACTTCTCTAATGTTAAAAAATATAGATGACATCATTTTAGCTACTGTGGTCCAGTGGTCTTGTTTTGAAACCAGAGAGGCTGTGGATGCCCCGTCCATCCCTGGAGGTGTTCAAGACCAGGTTGGATGGGGCCCTGGGCAGCCTGGGCTGCTCTGAAATGTGGAGGTTGGTGGCCCTGCCTGTGGTGGGGGGTTGGAGCTTCATGATCCTTGAGGTCTCTTCCAACCCGAGCCATTCTATGATTCTATGAACAACTTTTTACAAAAGTGTTCTGTCTCCAAAGACAGAAAGATGATACATTAATAGTATCAGCCATGTGTTTGAATGCAGCCATCTTTACTAAATTCAGTATTATCATATTCTGACAAAATGTTAGAAAGCACATGGGAATGCAGAAAGCATCCAAGAAATGAAATCAGCAAATGTATATCATCTGATCCCCCAGGGGTGAACTCTATCACCTATATTGCTCACGTGAGGATAGTAAAAAAGGGAAGAGAAAAACCTCAAGAGTAGTGATGCTCTAAGACTTCAGTGATTTATGCACATGGTTATGCTAGGAATGGTTGCATTGGTGAGGTCACCACTTGAATGATTTTTGGAAGGTTTGTGGTCTTAGAAATTGCTTCATTTTTATGAAAGGAGTTTCTATATTTAGTTTATTATTATATTTTGGGGTTATTATATTTAGGTTTATTATATTTAGTGGAGGGTTGTTAGAGTTGGGGTAGTTAGGTTGCAGTTGATTTGATGATCTTTAAGGTCTTTTCCAACTTGAGCAATTCTACGATTCTGTGATTCTGTGATTCTATTACAGCACAATGCTTTGCCCAGGTAAATCAGTCCTAATCTGCGTTTCAGATTACCTATACTCCATAACCTTCATTTAGAAGATATATGTTCCATTGCAGCACACTGTTTAGTTTCTCTTTTCATATTTATGCTGCTGAAAGTTATGTAGCTAAAGTTATCTTTATTCTGACAAAAGTTTGGCCTGTGGGTGATTCTAGTCATATTTTGAACAGCTATTTTAAAGCTGAAATTTCATGCAAGCAGTTCAGTCTTCTGAGCTCACCTTCAGTCTTGTGCTCACCTTCTGATCATGGAAATAATTTCTGCCCAAGGCAGAATGCCAATGGGCACAAATAGAAATGCAAGGAATTCATCAGATTGGTAAGAATTTTCATTTCACAGTGAAGGTGTTCAAACATGGGCACAGATTGACCAGCAGTGTCTCTGTCCTTGGAGACATCCAGAATCCAATTGGCCACTGTCCTGGGCAACCTAATGTTCTGGAACAAATTCCAGAGGTGCCTCCTACCTCAAAATTCTGTGATTCTCTGTGAATTATTTAATTGATAATATGTATATATATATATTTTTCAGAAGAGTGCCATTTTATTAAGGATTAATACCATGTAGATATGTCTGAATCTTGTTACTACATCAAATTGACAGTTTTACCATGGACCCTTGACCCTTCACTGCTGTTCTGGAATTTGCAGCCAATATACACATAGAAGGTTCCTCTTATCCCTGCGCAGGGATAATCACTGCCCATAAGGGCTTCAATATGCACTGTCAGGATAGGAGCTGCCAACTGACACCTCACGTATGATCTCTGTGCTGAGGGCTCTCTCTTTTCAATGACCTTCAGCTGCCAGTTCTTCACTGGTTCTCCCTGAAAACTGGAGTGTCTTGCAGGGGGATGGGGCTTAAACAAATTCCAGCCTGTACCTCCCTTGTAGCTATGGACCACCATTCAGAGAAGATACAAGGCCATTAACCCTTCATTTTTTTGTCCATGTTGTCATAGCATTGTTCAGCAGACTTCAGAGCTGTATGTCCGCATTTCTGTTGGGCTTTATTTTCCCTAATTATCCATAGGATTTTCAAAGACTATTAGGCTTATTACTCCCCTGTCTCATGGGGAAAGTTTTGTTTCCAAAACAGTCTCTGTGCAAATCAAAACATGTCTGCATTTCCAGCAGAGATGCGAATGATCCCTAATTAAAAAAATGGAGGATCATCCTAGATGCTCTGTCACTGGTGCTGGGATGGAGGCATAGGGGGAAAGGAGGCATCATTCACCGTTCTTACACGAATGACCCCAGTGACATCAATTTGAAAACATGGCTGTTGCACTATGCTGGAAAAAGCAGTCATCCAGTTTATCCTGCTCTGCATCCGTGCCTGCTGCTCAGGTCTTGGTGCCTCTGGAGAAGAGCCTGAAAATGTCGGTAGCGATAAGGAGTGGTGCTTGGGTGCTTGGGAGCCTTTGCAGAGACAGAGCGCAGATCTGAGATTAGCACTGAAGCTGTGGCACGGCTCTGGCGAGATAAGCAGGGGCCTACATCCCATGCCAGGTGGTTCGATTCAGGAGGATGAAGTGTTCTCTGCCTGAAATAGATGGCTCTTGCTCACAAGTTGGAGTTTAATTCCCAGTGGCCAGCTCTGAGGCTGCTGGCTGCCAAGGAAACTGCCCATGCTGTTCTCCACATACTTCAAAGGGAGAAGGTACATTACCTTAAACAGAAAGGAAATAGAAGATCCCATTACTTGATTTGCAGCAAACAATGAGCCATTGTTGGGGAATAAGAGAATGAGGAGTCGCTGTCCTTATTATATCTGTGTATTGAGAGAGAATGAGGTTGTAGCTGCTTTATAGCTATCACTGTTTTTTTAAGCCATCGGTGTTTCTGATTTTCCCATCCGCACCTCAGTGTGGAGCACTGCTAATTGACTTTGTGAGAACAGCCATTTTTCTTATCATCAGAGCCACTGGGAGCTGCCCAGGTCTTTGCTGCTGAGCTGTGCAGCCTGCAGCTCCCAGCCCTCTCAGTGGGATGACACCAAGAAATGAATTTCCATCATTCACACCTGCTGCTCCTGGACACAGTTTGAGTCTCTGACTCCCATCTGTCTGGAGCTCTGAATGACTGTATGTATGGGCAAACTCTTGCTGGGCACACCTCAGTGAGAATGACACAGCCAACTTGTCCTCCCCACAGCACTTGCAAAGGCAAAGCACTTTTCTAAAGCCTTCTTGGAAGAACATGTTGAATTTCAAAGCAAGGCACTTGTTGCACATGTCACATTTTGGGCAGGTTTGTGGCCATGAGGGGCAGGGGCAGAAGAGAAGGCATTGGAGAAAGCTGAGAGCGGCCATTCCGTATCTAATGGGGCTGTAAGAAAGAAAGGGACAGAGTCTTTAGCAGGGGCTTTTGTGACAGGATAATGGTTTCCAACTAAAAGAGGGGAGAGTTAAATTGGAGATAAGGAAGAAGTTTTTTGCAGTAAGGGCAGGGAAGCTCTGGCAGTTCTCCCAGAGAGGCAGTGATGCCCCATCCCTGCAGACAGCCAAGGTCAGGGGATGGGCTGTGAGCACTGATGGAGCTGTGGGTGTCCCTGTGCATTGCAGGAGTGGGACCAGATGGCCTGTAAGGGTCCCTTCCAACTCAAACCATTCTGTGATCCTGTGATTTGGTACAGGAATGGTTATTTTATGTTTGAAATAAGACTGCGATCAGCTGCTATTAATTTCAAGAAATTCCATGACACTGAGAGGCTGGGAGTGATACAAACAACCTTAAATCTCTGTACCCTCAGCAGTGATGGATTTACGTGCTTTTCTTACCTAAATTATTTAGTGATTCCACACAGCCCTGCAGCATGGCAGCCTGCACAAATGGGTGAAATAATTACCATCTCTCTTTCCCTTCTTTGATATTGGCATTGCTTTTAGTCTTCATGAGAAGTAACTTTCTGTGTAGTGCTGTAACTTCAAGTAGTGCTGTCTGAAGTCCTGCCTATTCTCCTGCCTTGGACCCAGCACAGTTAAAACAGATTGGTTTGAATTGGAAGGGGCCTAAGAGGTTGTCTGGCCCCACTCCCTGCAGTGAACAGATCACAGCTTCACCAGGTGTAGAAGTTTTTTGAGGACAGAATGGGAGAAGCAAACATTTCCCTTCTGCACATGGCAGGATGAGGTCTTTTTGGTGTACCCATTGCAGGCAGAGATGGACTATCACTGCTACAATCCATTCCTCTTTTGTGCAGCTTGTCCACCTCCCATGCATTTGAAAATAAATGCTGCAGGAGGGACCGGTGCTGCCCAGCTTCTCCAGCAGCACCATTTCCCTTCTCCTTCCCAGGAGATGGGCACCCTGCTGAAGCAGCCGTGATGAGAATACTCACTCCTCCATTCCCCTTTTAGCTCATGCTTTTCAAGGCACTGAGTTTTGCTATTGCTCGAAATAAGAAGTTTTTATTAGCAGGAGCTGAGTCACTCCGCAGCTGCCTCAGATCTGAGAGGTCTCCTCACAAATGTGATTTGTGTCAGCCTCCCAGATGCCACTTCTGACTCCCTGAGAAACGTGGTTTTGTGTGAACCTGACTGTCTGAGCATTCTTGAAGGCAGATGCAGTGATTCCCATAGCACAGAGACACTGCCCCACACATCTGCAGTCAGAACGGTGAGCAAGAGGAGCAATACCTCCAAACAGTGATTTGCTAAACTCTGCTCAATGAAGACAGTGCTGCTCTTGGTGCTCATGGACAGCCTGGTTTTTGCCCACAGCCCATCAGAGAAGGGGGAGCACTGAACAGAAGGGAGCTGAGTACTGGCATCTCACACTTGCTGCAAAGAACATTTGTGCTGGAACCAGAACCTTCATGGCCAGTGGTAGGGAGACACCCAGAGTTGAGGTTTGAGGGTTTTTTTTCCCTGAGGATTTACTGAGGTTCAAATGAGGATTGTCTTGTCCTTGCAAAATGCTTCTCACCAGGACTAAAGGCATCATACCTACTTCAGATGCATTTGTATTAGTAAACCATGTCCAGGGTAAACAAGAAGTTGGGCATTTGGGTAAGGTGGCTGGAGATGCCTCCTTTGCACTAATGCACAAAAAACTCCTTACAGTCCCGCCAGAAAGCCATGTGTACTTCCAGAGCTGCTGGGAGCAAGGGACATGGCTCCCTGCCTCAGGGCCCAGCTTGCTGCTGAGCCACCACTCAACACTCCACTGAGAGTTCACCATGGCACAGTTCTCCCAAGTGTAAAAGTTTTTCAATATGGGAGAAGAAACCCTCATATCCACCTCCACTGCGTTGCAGAGATATCTTTCAGATGTGCAGCACAGGAGTGCATTGTCCCATCACCACCACTGGTCCAGCACCCAGCCCCAGTTTGGCCAGCTCAGGGTTTTACCCTCCCAGCTCGGTTTTCAGCTCACCAGCTCACCTCCTTGCCCTCTCTTCCAGGAAGCTTGAATGTTTACCTGCGACTGAAAGGCCAGACCGCGATAGAGAACCCCTTGTGGTCTTCAAGTGGAAATAAGGGCCAGCACTGGAACCAAGCCCGTGTCAATATCAACCCCCCGACTTCATTCCAGGTAAGGGACGGCGCTGGGCTGCACGTGCTTTGCGGTGCCCAAGCAGCAGGCAGCAGGCACTGCAGATGGAGACATCAGGTCTGGGTCACACATTCACCGACCCTTCTTTCTGACACAGGATTTCACAGCATCATTTCAGCCCTGAAAGCTGCTTTATGGGCAGATAATTGCTTTCCTTGCTGCAAATAGGTGAGCACCACAGAGCTTAATCATGCACACGTCAGTGGCAGAACAGCAGCTATTTCCTCTGAGAGGAAATGCCTTTCGGTTCTTAGACAGTGTTGTTAGCTCATATAATATATGTATACATATATATAATTGTAGACTACCAACTGGAATATGAAATTATTCCCTATGAAAAACCATTTAGGGTCCATAGTGTAAAGTCTTTGTTAGATATCTTGGGGAACACTTGGGTTTTCCATGAAAAAAGAAAGGATCCGTCTTTGCAGAGCAATCTGTTTGCTTCATTCACCACACATTGTGCCAGGCTTCAGACATTTCAGTTTTGGTTTGACAGTGAGATGCTGATAAATTCTTAGAAGCAGCTCTTGTTCATGCCATGAGCTGTTTTCAAATGGAACAGGTCCAAAACATCAGCTGCTGGTTCCTGGGATTCCTGGGGCCCCCTAAAAAGACCTTTGGGAACAGTCATTGAGCGTGAACCAAAACGGCCATCCTGGACATGTGGGTTGTGTTCACTTCATGGGTAGATGGAAGGGAAGACAACCTTTTGTCTCATCCCTATGTGTGAGAGGCAGTGATGGTACAGAAGTGCTTTGGCATAGGCAGCCACAGAAGCATTGTGAAGGAAAAAATGAAAGGAGAATTAGTGGAGAGGGATGTACAAAAGGCACATGATGTGGTGGTTGAGGTGAACAGAGAGGGATGGAACTGGGCAAGAAGACTGCAGGGAATAAGAACAAGGGCATTGAAAAGCACGATTGGGAAGCCAGTCAGGGCTTGAGAGATCCCTTAAAAACCATCTCGTTCCAATCCCTCTGCCACAGGCAGGGCTGCCAACCACTAAATCAAGCACCAGATAAGGTGGCCCAGTGCCCCATCCAACCTGGTCCTTGGGTGATGCTCATGCCCTCTGTGGTTTGCAAGGGCGTTTTCCACTGCTCTCGGTATTTACTTATTGTTTAGTGAAGGTTATTCATTTCACATGAGAAGCTTTGAACTATAGAGATGAGCATAGAAATGTTGGAAGCTGCTAGAATAGGCTTGGACTTGTGTGCTGCTGAAATCAGTGGATAAAGAGAGTGCCCCAGACACCTCCCTAACGCAGCAAGCTCATTATGAGGTGTAATTTAAGCATTTTGCTCCAGATGGTATTAATATTTTTTGTCAAATTGGCTCTACCTCCAAGAGTTAATTTCTCCATTAGTCCCACAGCACGCCCTGATAAGATTCGTTGGATTTGATGCAAATATTGTCACAGATTAAAGGTTAGAAACTTTTCATCTAAGTGAGCCAAAAATATTTCAAAGATCTGAATTGGGGGGAGCAATAAAGGAGAAGAAAGATAGCTGTGCAAATGGTGCTGCTTGGGAGATGTATCCCTTGCATAATTCCTTCATCTCATTAGAAGGGCTTTGAAGTTTGCTAGGGAATATATTTCTTGCTACACAGAACGAGTCCACTCCTCTGCAGAGCTAATTAGGCAGCAGTGAGGCAGGACAGCACCGTGTTGCACTGGGAGAGGAGAGCAGATAACTTGGTTTCTTCTGTACAACAGTAGTGCCCAGCTGATAAGCAGCTTTATGGTAAATAATGGCTACAAGGTGCTCGTGTTGCATTCTGCCCCATAGGAAGTGCTTGCGTGGTATTCCAAGCCCCACAGGAAAGTTTCCTGCTGTGTGTTTCCCATTTGCCATCCTATGAACTGCTGTTCCTTTTATTTTTTACAGCTTATATTTGAAGGGATCCGGGGCCCAGGCATTGAAGGAGACATTGCTATTGATGATGTATCAATTGTGGAAGGAGAGTGTATGAAATCTGACCAGCCGGCCAACAGTAAGTGGCTCTTCTACACACTGGGGAGAGCAAATTGCTTCTTGTGCTGTAAAATTGAGGCATCTGTTGAAATGGGCGTTCTGTGAGAGAACAGAGCATTGTGTGGTTAAGTCAGAGAGGCTGCAGGAGAAGAGTTTTGCTTTCTGCCCACACAACAGATGCTGGCAGCAGTGGGTTCCCCCAGGGCAGCACCCCTTACACCCAACCCTCCCCAGTGATTCAGGAGGGACAGATGGATGAAGCAACGTGAAAAATTGTTTTGGGAGTCAAAACGGTGTGCAATTTATAGTTCAATTGTCACGATTGCCCGTGGACCTCTTTTCATCCCTCCGTCCCCATGTTGGCGTTATGACACAGAGCTTTAATTCTGCCTTTTTCCCCCTTTTTGTAGATTTACGATCAGGTGCTGTTGGGACATTAGCGCATATACGACTTATCCCAGTTACCATCCTCATGTTTGTCTTAAGTCATCAGAGGTGACCTTATCCTGGCAGAGGCTACAAAAGATTCACCAGGCACTGGCATGAAGAAAGAGTCTTTGTAAAATGGACATTTAAAAACAAACTACCAAAGATTCCTCCACTGACTGACTCAAAAGTTAAATAAATACGTAAATAAATTAAAAAAAAAAAAAAAAAAAACAATTAAAAAGCACTGGGGACGTAAAAGGCATCATGGGAGTGTAACTCACTATGAACCACGCGTGAGAACGAGATCTGGCCTAAGTGAGGAAGAGACCTTCAGGTGCTTTTGTGGTCAATAACGAATACAGCATCATCTGGTTGAACTCTCGGAACAGAGCGATAGAAACCCTTGTCAAAGCACAAAGTCATGGCTGGTTTTGTTTCAAATGAATAGTTTGCTTGTTACCATGGAAACCTAATGGCCTGCCAAAAAAAAAAAAAAAAAAAAGAGGAGAGGAGAGGAGAGGAGAGAGAGGAAATAATAAAATTAAAACAGAGAGAGCAACACCTCACTGTAAACAGGGTATGTGAAGAGCTGGCATTCATTTTCCCTTCGAGGAGGTTTTTAGTGTAGAGTTAAAAACATGTAGGCCCTTTCGCCTTTGGCTGTCACCTCCCCTAGAGAGTAACCCCGAATCAGAGCTGTTTTAAGACATTTCTGTTTCATTTCTCATGGCTATGCTCGATAACTGTATGCTGTCTCCTTTTGCATGCATTACGATCCAGGATGTGCCACCTGGGCTTACATATGACACAGGCTTATCGGAGCTTGCTTGCGGCCACTCGAACACCCCTCTCCCCTCCCCAACTGAGTCATCTGTTCTAATGAAGTGAAGAAACCAAACCACCATCTTTTATAAATTGCCATGGAAACCAAGTGCCTTCAATGAAACAAGCCTGATTTAAAAGTATATGTAGAATAATAATAATTTCAACACAGAAGCTTGCACTGCTAAAATGTGGTTTGTGCAAACTATTTTCTAAACAAACTACGGAGCCCGGGTGTGCAGACTGCAGGCGAAGGAAGCAAAGTCGTTCCTGGAGGTGGATGGACCTGAGCTGCTGCGTAAGCCCTCTCGGACGAGCTATCTGTTGTTTAACCTTCCAGACAGCCATGGCCTTTCAGCTTATTACCCATTAGAAAATAGCTTCCGTTGGTCCTGGAAATGGGAGCAGCGCTTTTTATTTGTTCCTTTCAGGTGATCAGGTGGGTCAACCAGAGGAAGAGGTGGTGGAGATGCACTTAGGGGTGCAGCGCTGAGCTCTGCAGGCACAGCTGGGCACGGGGCTGCTGCTGCTGCTGCTGCTGCAGGGAAGTCAAAGTTCCACTTGTGCAACAAAACACACGTGGGTTTGGAGCTGCCCCAATAGCCAGCTGGTTTTCCACTGCATTGTAAATTTCCCTGACAGTTGGTTATGACAATTTGAAGACCTTTTTCCTTAAATTATCTCAGCTTTTAACTTCATTTAAAAAACAAAAAAAAAAAAAAGAAAAAAAAAAAGACTTTTGTCTAAAGAGGAGTATTATTATTATAATTATTATTATTATTACTTGTTCTCTCAACACCCTAGGATTAAAAAAAAAACCTGATATGCAAGAAATTGGAGTACCAACAAACGAAAACAAACCAACAAAACAGCATCATATTTGCAAACATGAGTATAAAAAGCACAACGAGATGCAGTACAACAATGACAAGGCTTGATTTTTTTTTTTTTTTTTTTATTCTGTAGAGAAATGTTTGTGCAAATTCAGTAATTCAACTGAAGAGATAATTTTACAGCTATGTTCAATAAAGCCTCTTTCCAGGTAAGGTATGCCACGTGGTGCGTGTGTTTGTTGGGCGCTGTGCACGGGGTGCTGCTGGGCTGATGCACTGGTGCTGCTGTCTGCAGATGGAAGCACGGCCCATGGAGCTGGCCAAGGATGCTGCTGGTGCTGCTTTAGAGGTGCTTTGTGGTGTCCGGGCTGCAGCAAAAAAAAAAGCTGCTTGGAAGACAGCAGGAGCCCAGAGCTTGGATGGACTGCGGGGTTTGGCACCGTGAGTGTTTGTAAATAAAAGGAAATTTCCCACTGGAAGCATTGGATTTTAATTGTGGACCGGAGAGCTGAGTTGGGTGCAGCAAGATCCTGATCGGAGCTTTGCTTAGGAGGTTGGTGTGCCTCAGGATTTGGGGTCTGTGGAAATGGGACCTCTACAGGCATCTGCCTGAAAGCCAAAGGACCACAGTGCGTGCGAGGGACCCCCACAGGGCACTGCTGGGGCCACTGTGCTCACAGCCATGGCTGCAGAGCCCTGCCCAGGGGAAGAGCAGGCTGCAGCCTGTTCCCTGTTGCATTTCCTGTTCTACCCTTGCCCATCATTAGAGCAGGTCTGACGCAGTGGGGAATATGGAAATAGTGGCTAGCTGTCAGTCATTCTGACGCAACGTGGGAACCATTCCATTCCCCTGAAAATGCTGTCCCTCACATTGATTTTTTCAAAACTGGACTCAACATCCATAGATTTGGACACCTGTTGGTCAGCTCAGGCCAGGATAAGTGACCACAAAGCAGCCACTGCTGCAGGTCGCTGAACTGGAGGTCATGCATGTGTGGGGACCACAGGCTAAGACTGAAAGCTGAAATCCCCATTCCCTCCTCATACTTTTAGTCTTCTTTCCTTGGTGGAGGACAGGGATGAATACTCAATGAAAGCTTTCAGTTGATGGCCAAAGACCAAAGCTGTCTTTCTCTGGGCAGGATGAGCTGAGGGGCAGGTGGTTTTGTGGAAGGAAACTTGCTTGCCCTGCCTATTTCAGTTCTGTTCTGCTTACATGGATGCAGAAGCAGTTGCTAAGAAGGGTATTTTTTATCTTTCAGACATTGATTTAGTTGTCTTCCTTTACATCCCTAACCTAAGGAACTGAAAAGGCAGTGGGATTTTATCTTGGGCTACAAGCAAATAGATAAAAGATACACATTTCCTAGTCTATATATAGATATATATTTCATTTTGGTGTGAAAATGAATGAAGTATTTGTAAAAGTAAAGTAAAAAATTTGGGTGACAACCAGACAGAAGGCTGTTGTTCATTTCTTGGGTACCCCATCTAGTGACATTCCTGACTTGTTCTTAAATGGTTCCTCAATACAAAATTGTGCAAAATGGACTCAGAGCAGGCCAGCAGCTGGCTGCTGGCATCAGCCCGGCTCTTTAGGGAGCCAGCTCAGAACCAGCTGGGTGTTCCCATGGCAGAGGTATACTGACCCCACGATGAAGTTTGCAGTGAATTTTATTCTTCTCAGAATGGTCAGGGAGAGCAAGGAGCATTCCTCTTTCATAGCAAAGGAGTGCTAATTCTTTTCGTTCACAGAGCATGCAGTTTGAATGGGAAATCCCACATGCAATTGTTAAGAACTCTGATCTCACTGTACAACCAGCCACTGCTTCCCCAGCCAGCTCCAGCCAGGCAATGGGACACAAGGGAAAAAAGATTAGAGACTTGAAGGGGGCAAACACATCACAAAACACATCACAAATGCACCATTAAGATGAAGGCAAGGAGCAGCTCCTGTCGAAGTGCTGATGCCTTGTGTGATAAAAAAGCATTTGCTCGCGGATATTGCAGAGGATAGGTTCTTTACCCTGAGCTCACATCCTATCAGCCAGTTTTTGGAAATGATAGTCTTAAGTGTATGGTGCTGTCAGGCATCCTTGGAAATGTGAAATTTCTTGCTGAAGTCAGAGGCTTTGGAAAAATGCTGACCTCCAGGGATGCCATCACAGTTCCCTCCCTGACACCGAGTGCTTGAATCTCCACTGCATTCACCAATGTAAATGGCACTGTTTAGTGTGAGCACCTCTCAAGGCAATCAGAAGCCCCAGACTTCAGCACAAAGCTGAGGAGTGACAGCATCAGCTCCTTGTTCAAATTTGGTTTCTTCTTCACTGCCTTCGGGGTCAGTGACATCCCTTGCAGTGAGCCAGGTAGTCAGAATGATGGGATTTTCTTCCCTCCCACTGGAAGAGGTTCTGCTGCTTCATTTTTGGAGGGTTTACTCACTGAAATTATTTTTTCGTTTATCTGAGGATGCCCAAAAAGAGCTGCTGTCCACTGGAAGAATGGCGCTATATAGGAGTTTGATAACAAAGGTAGTCCTGTATTATAAGCACCTTTGCCTGTATATGCCAGTAAAAAGGTTAGAGGCCATCAGGATTAATTCTTACATTTTCCTATAAAAACCTATGCAAGAAACTCATTAATATTTCTTTTTTTTTTTTAATTATTATTGTTATTATGATTTTGTAAGCAGCACCACAGGAGCGTGCTCTGTCATTTATGGCTGCACCACCGGAATGGAAGCATCAGTCCCAGCAGAGAGGAGTTAAACTCACAGGCACTGCCCATTGCATTCCTTTGTGCCAAGGAGCTCGCTGCCCCACTGCTCATGCAGTCATTGAGGGACGTTTGGTCTTTGGAAGTCTGGGGACATCCTTTGCCTGAGCTCTGCCCCCAGCATCTCCCTGTAGTTCCCACAGGAACACAGGGTTTGGAGTGGGGAAGGACATGTGGGGCACACCTCATAGGTCTTAAAACCAATTAAGAGGTGGAAGGGGAACGATTCATGTGTGTTTTGCCTTCTGTAAGGCTGCTTGTAAGGCTGCTGCAAAGCCTCGCCAGGGTGGAGGTGTTCACAGCCACTTTGGTGTCACTTGTTCTGTGCCAGCAGTGTTACGTGTCTGGTGTTAAACTCCTCCTGCTCTGGGCTCCCAGACCACTTTCAGATCCCCTTTTGACTGTTTTTGGCCAAGCTACACCACTAGGCTTCTTTGGTTTATAAAAGATTTGTAATAATAACCAGGAGCTATCATTAACCTGAATACAGGACACTTGGGATGGTACGTCCTATGTGAAGTACTAAAATATGACAGATCACCATTGTATCTGTCAGACTGTGGAGTCTGTATGCTGAGTTTTATATTGTGGGAAGGATGCTTTATTTTTTTTTCCCTGAACACAACCTCTACAGCCCATGTAGCTGGCACCCAGCTTACATGGGTGTTTCTGGACTGAGGCTTCAGTGGTGACACAAAGGTTTTGCTTTCATGAAATAGCATCTTACTCACCCTTCTCAGAGGAATGGCTGTGATATAATGGGACTACTCAGGTGAGAGTAAACTGATCAAGTCATCA